TGACCTCTGCTCTGACCAAAAAGATCACTCTGAAAACGCCACTGATTTCCTCACCCATGGACACAGTTACAGAGGCTGGGATGGCCATAGCAATGGCAGTAAGCACCATGGGGCATGAGGGCAGAGGCAGGGGCCTGGTCTCTCCCCCAAAGGCATATAGTCATGCCTCTCCTAATCTTGTCACTTGTTCCCTTCTATTCTACAGCTTACAGGTGGTATTGGCTTCATACACCACAACTGTACACCTGAATTCCAGGCCAACGAAGTTCGGAAAGTGAAGGTCAGAAGGGCAAGGATCCTGGTCAAGAGTTCCTGGGAATTGCACTGAGGTGGAGTGGGGTGGGAGTAGGGGTTTATTCTGTTCCTAATGAAGGATCCTTTTTTCCCACTGTGGAGTTCAGTCCAGAGCAGAAGAGCCTGAGACCCTGGGTCCTAAGGCAACAGAAGAGGACCAGGTGGACAGTGCTTACTGCCCACCCATGTCTCCTATCCCTGGGTTTGAGGTGTTGGTGTGATTTGCTCCTGTGGCACTGTCAAATGGGGAGTTGGCACAGACCCCCGTTTTCAGACCAAGAATCTGATGAAAATGGTTCAGAAATGCCCATTCTCATCATCCCTTCCAGAAATATGAGCAGGGATTCATTACGGACCCTGTGGTCCTCAGCCCCAAGGATCGAGTACGGGATGTATTTGAAGCCAAGGCCCGGCATGGCTTCTGTGGTATCCCCATCACTGACACAGGCCGGATGGGGAGCCGCCTGGTGGGCATCATCTCCTCGCGGGACATTGATTTTCTCAAGGAGGAGGAGCATGACCGGTTTTTGGAAGAGGTAGGTACACTGGCAAAGCCAGGTTCTGGCAACCATACTAAAGACAAGGAGCCTTCTGTTGCCTCAGTGGCATCTCTGATGGTTTCTATTGTCCAGGAAAGATGAGTGCCTGACCAAGTTTCTGATCCTTTCATGAGTTCCTGCACCCACACACATACACACCAGTTTTCAGTCTACCCAAATGTTTACCCGCATACACGTGGTGTTCTTTGCCACCCCCCAGGGTGAAGGCAGTGCTTAAGGACAAATTTCAGCCGCCTCTTCTGATTCTTGTCATTGATCTGGTGTGGCCCTTCTCCTACCAGTGTAACGGGCTACTCTATATATCACATTGTGCTTACGCGTGTCACTAGGTTGCTGCAGAGACACTTAGGTTCACTTCAGGAGGGTGGTTTGGGTGGTGTGTGAACATGGTCTTTGGAACTTCACCCCTGAGTTAAGGGCAGGGCCTGTTGGGAGGTCTGGTCTCTGACTGACCCTTCCTCACAGCTCCCCTCCCCCACAGATCATGACAAAGAGAGACGAATTGGTGGTAGCTCCTGCAGGCATCACATTGAAGGAAGCCAATGAAATTCTGCAACGCAGCAAGAAGGGTGAGTCCTAGAGGTAGGAAGGGTTCTGTAACCAAATACCAAGATCCTGATTCATGTCCTCCTCTGCCCTCAGGAAAGTTGCCCATTGTAAATGAAGATGATGAACTGGTGGCCATCATTGCCCGGACAGACCTGAAGAAGAACCGGGATTACCCACTAGCCTCCAAAGATGCCAAGAAGCAGCTGCTGTGTGGAGCAGCCATTGGCACTCATGAAGATGACAAGTATCGGCTGGACTTGCTAGCCCAGGCTGGTGTGGATGTAGTCGTTTTGGTGAGTTTTGGTACAGGCATGGAGGGGCAGTAGGGGCTGCTGCCATACCCATCTCACCTGGACTTTCCCCCTGTTCCAGGACTCTTCTCAGGGAAACTCCATCTTCCAGATTAACATGATCAAGTACATCAAAGATAAATACCCCAGTCTCCAAGTCATCGGCGGCAATGGTGAGGCCAGACTGGGAACTGACGACATGGGGCAAGCGTAGGGAAGCCAGCCCTGGCTGGTTTTGCTCAGTGGTTAGAGTATCGGCCTGTGGTCCAGAGACCCAGGTTCTGTTCCGCTAAGGGCATGTACCTCGGTTGCAGCTTGTCCCCTGCCCTGGTTAGTTGTGTAGGTGGCAGCCACCTCGATGTGTCCCTTTCATGTTGATATTTCACTCTCTCTTCTCCCTCCCTCCTACTCTATCTGAACAAAAAATGTAAAAATGTCCTTGTATGAGGATTGGAAAAAAAAAAGAGTAGAGAAGCTAGGCTTACACCTACACCTAACCTTCACTTGAGCCTTTCTGTTCTTCATTGCAGTGGTCACAGCTGCTCAGGCTAAGAATCTCATTGATGCTGGTGTAGATGCCCTGCGGGTGGGCATGGGCAGTGGCTCCATCTGCATCACCCAGGAAGGTAAGATGCTTTGGCAGGGCCCTTAGCTCCATACACCCTGGAGCCAAGTGCTCTCATGGGAACTACAATGAGTCCTCCGGTAGGGGCAGACCCAGGGCCAAATAGGTCCCTTGGATGGGCGACATTCTGGAAGCAAGACAATCTCGTCTTTCCTCAATTGCCACTCGCCCCTGCCTAGCCTGGCCTCCTTGCTCCTGCTCTGCACCCTCTCTAAACTTTGGTCTGTTTGTTTTATTTAGCAGCTCCCAAGATCCCTCCAGACATAAAGTCCCACAGCCCCAAATGCCCTTCTACTGTCACGGGCTGCTATAGTAAGTCCAGCCCGGCCCACTGGCCCGGCCCAGCTGCCCACTGCCCAGCTGCTTGGTTGACTGTAGCTGTAGCTCCCGGGGTTTGTGGTGCTGATGGGTGGGCAGGGCAAACTGAGTGACAGACCATGGTTTTGGGGGCTGCTCAAAAACACAGCTCCCTCTTATTCTTGGGGTGTTTACCGGGCAGGACCTCCTTCCCCTACTCTGCCCACATCTGCAGTAGGGCACAGCTCAGACCAACTCTGGAGCACTCTTCCTTCCACCTGACCACCACCCTGATCTTGCTTGAGCTGCCCACCACATAGGAGGGGGTGGGCCTCTGGGTACTAACTGCACAGTGACCCCTACCCCCACCTGATACCAGTTGGGTGGGGCTTTCCCGGCTGCTGACTGCATGTGCCTGAGGCTGCCCTGGGCCATGCACACATGCACGTGCACATGCAGGGGTGAGTGGTGGCCATCACAGCTGTTTGTATTGTTCAAGGCAGATGGGGCAGCCATCCCAGACATGACTTATTCTCAGCCAGGCTGCAGTCCCAGTGCAGGTGTAGCTCTAAGCTCCTGATACAGAGCTGTAGCCACAGGGCCCCTCGCCTGTTATTATCAACTCCACCCACCCACCTGTTCCACCATCTTTTAACAGTGCTAGCCTGTGGGCGGCCCCAAGCAACAGCAGTATACAAGGTGTCAGAATATGCACGGCGCTTTGGTGTTCCTGTCATTGCTGATGGAGGAATCCAAAATGTGGGTCACATTGCCAAAGCCTTGGCCCTTGGGGCCTCCACAGGTGAGGCCCAGCACCTAAGGAGCCTGGTGGGACTCCTTCCCCTTTGCCACCCAAGGTCTGCCTCCAGCATTCCCTCTGTCCATAGTCATGATGGGCTCCCTTCTGGCTGCTACCACTGAGGCCCCTGGCGAGTACTTCTTTTCCGATGGGATCCGGCTAAAGAAATACCGTGGTATGGGCTCTCTCGATGCCATGGACAAGCATCTCAGCAGCCAGAACCGATATTTCAGGTGGGACAGGAAGATCAATTACCTCATGTCAACCATGCACTGACAGCTCTGTCTGGGCTTTGACCATGTCCATGTCTCTTGCCTCTCCCTACAGTGAAGCTGACAAAATCAAGGTGGCCCAGGGGGTGTCTGGGGCTGTCCAGGACAAAGGGTCCATCCACAAGTTTGTCCCCTACCTGATTGCTGGCATCCAACACTCCTGCCAGGACATTGGTGCTAAGAGTTTGACCCAAGTCAGGTAAGCGTGGGGAGCTGGGACATGGGTAGAGTTGCATCCAAGGCCAGCTACCCACACCTAACATCTGCCCCTTTCAGAGCCATGATGTATTCTGGGGAGCTCAAGTTTGAGAAGAGAACATCCTCAGCTCAGATGGAAGGTGGCGTCCACAGCCTCCATTCGTAAGTGACCAACCCTTTCCTGCCCCTATCCTTGGGGTGGAAGTCTGCCCTGCCTACTGCCCTCGCCTCACAGTTGGTCTTTCTGTCTACAGGTATGAGAAGCGGCTTTTCTGAAAAGCAATTATAGCATAACCCCTTGGTTTTTCAATAAAAGTTTGAAAAAAAGTGGTGTCTGATTTTTTTTAGGTCATCGGGCAGGTGGGGCTGTGCAGCTGCCACATCACACGTGCACACAAACACAACACCCTCATTTCCAGGGAAAGCTTCAGGCCTTGAGATAACGGTGCTCCATGGGCCTGAAGGGGGGTAGTAGTCCTAGATTCAGTAAGTCCCTTCGGCCCTGGCTGGTTTGGCTCAGTGATTGTGGAGTGTTGGCCTTTGGACCAAAGGGTTGTGGGTTCCATTCTTAGTCAGGGACACATACCTGGGTTGCAGGTTGATCTCTGGCCCTGTTGGGGTCATGCAGGAGGCAACAAATTAATGTGTCTCTTTCACATCAGTAGTTCTTTCTCTCTCCCTTTCACTCTATCTAAAAAATAAATGAAAAAAATATCCTCAGATGAGGGTTAACCAAAAAAAAAAGAAAAGTTCCTATTGAGGCAGCTCATAAGCCAGCGCTGACCAGCTAGGGCTCTCAAGGGTTCTATCTCATATTCTGACTGTGGAGGGGTCATAACAATCCATGGGGCTTTGGACTGACACCCACAGGGACTTCTGCTAGTCCAAAGCTTGGCCACATGGGACTAGATTGAGACCCTCATACGTTTTCTGACTTGAATCTATATAAAGAACCTTGTGGAAAAAGAATTGAGATTGCCCTCAATTGGAATGGGTGTGTATATATTGCCTCCTGGCCTCTTATGGGCCGTGTGGTCTAGATGAATAGGTGACCCCTTGGTTTCTTCACAACCCCAACCAACAGGCCCCTGAGCCAGCAATGCAACTAATACAAAATGGCAGAAGTGGATTAGATTATCACTTTGCTGGTAAGCCACACAAGCGTTCCAGTGCTACAGGGAAAGGGCTAGTGAAAGTGCTGGGGACTCCTGCACTCCGCAGAGGGTGCCAGGGCCTACTGGAAAGGTCAGGTTAGTTCCTGTTGTTTCACTCTGCAGTTTGGGCCAGAGATGTGAGCACAGTCCCTCCAGGTGGGGGAATGAGAGCAGCTCCTGTCACTCGGCCTTCATGACACAAGAAGTTGAAAGTGGCACAAGCATTGGGCTGCAAAGAGAAAGCCAGCATCAGCTGGGCTAGGACTAGGCCTGTGATCCCCTCAGTGTTCCCAAGTCCCGGGACTGACCGTGTCCTGCACTTCCACGGCGATTCCCCGCTGCCTCATGGCTCGCAGCACCTGGGACTGCAGCCGCTCAGTCCGGTCTCCAGTGCCCACCACGACAATCTCTAGGGAGAGATGGGGCTAGTCAGCCAAGACTACTGATAGGCTGGGAGCACCTCGGCCCTTCCCTCCTCCAATACCTATTCTGGGCTCCAGCATCCAGAAGAGAGAGAAGCTTTCTTCTGTGATGTCCTGGTGGGATCCTACCTGTGTGAGGAGGAAGCAGGTTAAAGACAACAAATCCACGCAGCTTTCCCCATAGTCCCGCTCCACAACGAGGCCACGCAAAAGCTAAGTTTGCCAGGGACGGAATCGGGGTAAGCACGGCCGGGAAGGGCTCACGTTCCACTGGAGCACCGAGTGCGGGAGCAGCGCACAGGGCCCAAACACGCGGTTTCCGCTGACCACGAAGCCGCGACTGTTGTAGCTGTCGATGTACATGGCGTGCGGGGCCTCGCGCTGCAGCAGGGTGATGCGCGTCCGCTGATACAGCTCGTCGTCGGCGGGCGTGAGCCGGTGGCCACGCCGTGGGGCCCTGCGAAGGGGTATGGTTAGGGTCCAGGGGGTGCGCAGGCTCAGGGTGTGGGGTGGTCAGGGACGCCGGGACCGGCCTCACCACAGCAGCTCCGCGGGCGAACGGCGGAGCACGGGTCGTGCTCGGTACAGGCCGCGGAGCACGAACGCGGCGGCCATGGCAAACCAGCGCTCAGAGTCGACGAAGTCGTAGCGCAGCCCAGCCCCGCGCGGGTACAGCGCCCCGTGCGTCCCGGAGGGCACGGCGCAGCTCGGCCGCTCCAGCGCGGGAGAGCTAGGGAGCCGGCCAGTGCCGCCGGTCCCAGGGGGTCGCGTCCCCCACTGGGACTCCGGTGTCTGCACCTGTCACCCGCCCCACCCTGAACCCCCACAGTCGGTCCTGCGAAAGCCAGACAGCTGGTGGGGGCGCCGGCCTCAGGCCACTGCCTGGGTCCCAGCTGCAGCCTGGCCCCTGGCTCTCAACCATCACGCAGGGCTCCGGGGCCTGGGGAGGGGAGGCCACGCACCTGGCCGAGTCCTGCACACCTGGCCAGGGCGTGGGGCCAGCCTCCGAATCCCTAATCCCGGTTTAGGGGAGTCAGGTTGAGAGGGCGGGGCGGGCGGCTCAGGTTTCCCCGCTTTCCTCGGGATCACGCCCCTCGCCAACCGTCACCCGCGCGACCGTTGGCGCCGCCGCCGCGTGTCGCACGAGGCGTGGCTGCACAGGGATTGGCTTCTCGGGAGCGCCAGGGGGCGTGGCCGGCTGGTTTCTCCTTAAAATGGCTCCAGTCTGCGTCCAGCAAGCGGAAGGGGACGCCGTGGTAGGGCAGTTGGAAGCTGAGGTGGGAGCGACTGGGCCGAGCCGACCACACTGAGCGAGACAGCGGCTGGAGCAGGGCCGTCTTCACTCACTCAGTTCGCGCCCCAGAATCCTCCGGCCCCGGCTCGAGCCGAATAGGAGGGCCTACTGGCCGAGTGGCGGCGCCCGCATGGCGTTTGGGCATCTCGCGCGCCGTGTCGTGGCCTCAGAGGAACGTTGCCGCGTCTGCTATCCGTGGGGCCGGCCGAGCGGGAGGCAGGCTCCGTACAGACGAGGATGATCTCAATGGATTCCTAGGGGTCTTGTCGCCGCCGTGCGAGCCACTGGGGCCCCTAGAGCTCCGGGTGCTGGTAGCGTCACTGGACAAAGGGCCCCGGGTGCGGGGGTGTCTCCAGGGCCGTTGCGCGGGCTTACTTCCTCCCGGGACCCCACGGGAGCGCTTCTTTCTTGGCTGATCCCAAAGCCCGCCCCGACACTGTCCCGTCACCAGCGGCTCTGGCTGCATGGGACCAGCAGAACTAATCCTACCCCGCAGATGTAATCCGGATCGGGACTCGGTCCCAGGGGAGGCCCTCACCGCCCCTTCTATTGTTTTGAGACCCAGGTGAGCTCCTCATTCCCACTAGACTCAGTTTCACCGCCTACTCCTAGGTCCGCCTCCTGGGACTGGAAATAGGGGGCTTCTATTCTGGCCCCAGGGCAAGCCCCCGCCCCGCCCCCGCCACGGCTGGACAGCGGGCAACGGAATCCCAAAAGCAGCTGTTGTCTCCAGAGCATTCCAGCTGCGCTTGGATTTCGTTCCCTGCTCTCCTGCCTGAGCAGCGTCCTGGGCCAGAAGGGGTGGGCGAGGCCCTGACCCCAGACACTTCATTGGGTCGTTCTGGTCTCCATCCTTCTCTCAGGTGCGCCCTCAGGCTGGAAATGAGAGGGGTAGACGCCTGGGCGGTGGTCATCTCTGGAACCCGGGGTAGCATTGGTGAGGGAGGGAGGGCAGACCCAGGGCCTCCGGATAGGGCTGCAATGGCGGTGAGTCCCACAGGGCCGCCCCAGCCCGCAGCTCGCTAAAGATAGCCCTTCACTTCCTGGGGAAAAACCACCCCAACCGTCTTCGTGTACCGAGAGTAGCTGAAATCCCCAGCTGGGTCTCCAGCCCCAGCCCTGATAACAGCTGTTCCAGATGCACGCCTGCAGCATGGAAAGTGCTTTGGAATGACACGATCACTCCCGTTGAGTGGGCACCCAAGAAGCCATCGGGAATGTCGTGTCCGCCCAGTGCTCTTTCGGCACCTCCCCGGAGGGCTTACCCTACCCCTAGGGGCCCCCTCCTGAGTTCTGAGCACTCTCGCTGCCCCAGGGCAGAGATCACGGTTTCCCGGCGCTCTGTGCTGAATCAGTGTCAATTTCATTAAAGGAAATGGGGATTTAAGTTATGTTGAAGTGAAACATTCAGGTGCCATCATGGGATAGGGAGCTTTCTGAGGCAGAGTAGGGTGCTCCAGTTGAGCCTAAACCAGGACGCGAGAGGACCCCTGATAAAGTACACCACCAGGTTAAAGGAGAAACCTTTCAAGCCTGGCAACTCTGGAAACCACCATGACAATTCTGATTCCTCAAGAACCAGGAGGAGAATCCCGGTAATTCTATCAATGGACATTTATCGGTAATAAAGACAACCCACATCTCAAAGGAGGAAATGCTTGCAAATAACCTGAAACCGCAGAACACGAATTATTTTTTAAATTAAAAAATTTTTAAAGTAAGTCATGAAGGTAGCAATGTAAGTTGCCCTATTCCGGTGACAATTCGTTTGGAACTTTAACGTTTTTTTCATGCGTAAAAGGAGTGAAATGAAATGTTATCACAAATACAGAGATGTTAGATTTCGATGAGGAAAGAGCCCCACCAGGTCGCGAGAATCCTTTTCCTGGTTTCTAACGCAGGTGACGGCGAAAGAGCCCTAGGCCCAGGAGAACCCCGAAATTTAGGACCCAGGACCAAGCAGGGCAGGTGGGCCACGGTGGGACCGTCAGTCGAAAGTGGCCTCCACGACTCCCCTTTGGTGCACCTGCCCACTGGGGAACCGGATCCCCGCCCAGTCATTCGCTCCGCCCGGAAGTTCGAGCTCCCAAAATGTTGTTTCCGGTTCCGCTCGCGCCTTCCGGTCCCCATGGCGACAGGGCGTCTTGGGGTGGAGGAGACTCTGGGGGCTCTCAATGCGGCCCTGGGACCTGGCGGCCCAGTGTGGTTCAAGGAGACGCGCGCCCGCCACCTGCGTGCCCGAGACTTCCTGGCGCCGCGGCGCGCGCTACAGGCGCGCTTTGGGGAGGGACAGGTGGGAGCTGGCCAGGCGGGGAAGCGCGGCCAGGAGTGGTGGGAGCGGCGCGGCCCGCTCACCGGCCTGTTTCCCCTCAGGTGCCCGAGCATGTGGTCCGCGCTGTGGTCGACCTGCAGGGCCCCGGCGTGGCCCCAGTGCTGCGCTGCGAGCCGACCCCCGCTGGCCTGGCGCTCCAGCTGCAGCGGTCCGCCGTCTTCGAGCGCGTGCTCGGCGCTGTGGCCGCCTATGCCGCGCCCTCCGCGCCCTCCGCGCCCGCCGCGCGGGAGCCGCGCGTCCTCCTGCACTGCCCGTCGCTGCGCGCCGCGCCCTGTGCATTCCGCCTGAGCCAGCTGCGGGCCGTGCTCGTGGCCGACCACCTGGCGCGAGCCTTGCAGGTTCATGGGTGAGCCGGCAGGCGGGGCAAGAGAGGAGAAGGCGCGGCCCTTGGGGACTGGCTGCTGCGGGTGACAAGTAGGGGCGAGCCGGGCCAGGTGCTCAGGCTGAAGCGGCTGCTCTTGCTTTGCAGGGTGAGTGTGTGCCTAGTGCCCGCTGTGAGGGACCCGCACATGTCGACTTTCCTGCAGCAGCTGCGGGTGGACTGGCCCGCTGCCTCGGAGCAGGCCTCAACTGAAGCGCTGAGGAGCCGCGCACTTGCAGAGTTTCCCCCTGCGGGTGCCAGGGGAGCCCTGCCCCACGGCGTCCTGGGCAGTGCATGCCTGAAAGAGCTGGTGAAAGGACGGGGACACGCAGCTGGCTATGACGCTAACCTGGACAACTGTCTGGGTAGGACCTGGAGCGTAGCAGGGCCGGAAAGAAGAGGGGAACCCCTGTAGCCCCGGCTAGCCCCAGTGCCTGTGTTCCCAATGCAGTGACTGAGGATCTGCTCTCCGTGCTGGCTGAGCTGCAGTCAGCTGTGCAGCACTGGCCTGAGGACAGCTCCCTAGGCCTGGTTAGTAACTGACTTCCCACCCTGTCGGCCTTTGGCAGAGGTGTTCTGTGTCCCTGCAGTGATTGTCCTCCCTTATAGACTGCAGCCCCAGATGCTGGTGCAGACAGCTGCGTGGTGGTACACGTGGTGAGCTATGAGGAAGAGTTCCAGCAACAAAAATTGGACCTGCTTTGGTGGAAGTTGGATGACCAGGCTCCTCTCAGGCAGGTAGGTTAGTGATAGTGGAGCTCCCCTCACCAAATTCAGAGGGCCCTGCGAGCTGACTAGTTCAGAAGGGAACACTTGACCTTGGGAGAGACATTAGGCTTGGTGAATGGGAGCATGCAGCAGGGGCAGAGTTCTGGGAGAAGGTGGGGTCTGGAGGCGCACCCTGAAGAATAGGTTTCCTGAAGGGCTGGGCTTGAGAGGGAGGCGCTAAGGCTGGGGGAGTCCAGTTCCTTGCTGGAGGGTGTCACCAGCTGGCTGAGCCCTTGCTATCTTCCTGACAGAAGCACCTGGTGTGTGGCCCAGTGAAAGTAGCTGGTGTGCCCGGCACCCTGACTGCCCCCGAGTACTACGAGTGAGTGAGGTGGGAAGGAAGGCTGCCAAGCCAGGGTAGTTGAGGTGGGGATCTGCCCACAGGCCCTCCTCTCATTCTTTCTAAAATGCAGGCTCCGGCATACCCAGGTGTGCAAGGCTTCAACACTGAAGCACAGCGGGGACCTGGCACAAGGTGCGCCCGGGAGACTGGCTGTGCTTTGGGGCAGGGGCTGTGGAGGTCATTTGCATCTCTGCCCCTGGTTCCTTGCCTGCAGAGGCTGACTGACCTATACTCCCTCAGACCCAGCCTGGACAGAAACCTTCAGGGTTCTCTCTGTGGCGACCATCAAGTTTGAGATGCTCAGCAAGGCCCCACAGAGTCAGGTGAGCCTGGGTGCCCCACAGGACCAGGACTGGGGGGGACAGGCTGTGTGGTGGCTGTCCTCCCTCTCTGCATCTGTGCCATTCCTCAGCTTCTCCTGAACCTGGCTGACAACATTTCCACAAAGGGTACCAAGAGTGGCACCTTTGTCATGTATAATTGTGCTCGTCTTGCCACACTCTTTGAGGGTTACAAGTGCAGCATGGAACAAGGTCTGTACCCCCCTTTTCCACCTGTGAGCAGTCTGGATTTCTCACTGCTCCATGAAGAGGTGAGTGCCCCTCCCAGTAGCTGGCTTCCCCAGGAGGCTTGGACTTGCCCTCCCAGCAGCCTTCTCCCCACAGGGTGAGTGGTTGCTGCTCTTCAACAGCATCCTCCCCTTCCCAGACCTACTGAGCCAGACAGCAGCTCTGGACTACACAGCCCCGGGGCTCCACGTCACTGCACGCACAGAGATGGTGAGGCAGAGAGGACCTGAACAGATACTACACATTCTTTTATTCTGGTCTGGGGTACAAGAGCAGAGACAGGGCAGTGACTCGGTCTCTGTCTTTAGGTGTGCAAGTTCCTAGTGCAGCTCAGTATGGATTTCAGCTCGTACTATAATCGGGTACACATCCTAGGGGTAAGCACACAGCAAAGGGGTGTGTGGGGGAGGTGCAGGGGAAGGAAGCGAAGGATGAGACCAGCAGGCCCCTTCTCTCCTCCAGGAGCCTCGACCACACCTGTTTGGTCACATGTTTGCCCGTCTGCAGCTTCTACGGGCTGTGCGTGAAGTGCTCCACGCTGGCCTGGCCGTGCTGGGTCTCCCTCCACTGAGCTACATCTAAGGCCACAGAAGTTCCAGTATCTGGGAATGTTCACAAAGTCATCAACTGAAAAAGAAAAAAAAAAAAATCCAGATTGTGAGAGACCTGGAGCCAAAATAAATGGTTAACAAAGCTTTGTTCTGTTACGAGGAGTGGGGCGTATTCTTGGTCTGCCAGGAGCACTGTACTTACCTCCAACACCTGCTCTGAAGTCAGGAACCCGCGGCTGCCTCCTCTCCTCCCCTCAAGGCACACTGGGCATGGGCACAGACAGTCAGTCTGTCTGTGAGCAGGACCCATGCCCAGCATGCCGGCCACCGCGGGACACCTCAGTCATACCAGTTGTAAACCTCGAGTCCCTGGCCCCCAAGAGCACAGCGGTGACCAAACTCGGGGCTCACAGGCCAGCAGTCCATGTCAGCCACGTCTGGTACGTGGTACACTGTACTGTTCACAAAGGTGGGTTCACCATGCCCTAGACGCCAGAAGGTCAGCCGCTGATCAATGGAGGCTGAGACCATAAGGCTTGGGCTTAGGATCTGGAGGCCTGTCACATGGGCAGCATGTGCACAGGGGACAGAGTATTCCTCTAGCACATGCAGCTGGGGCACCAGCTCAGCAACCCCCACAGCCTCTTCCAGCTCTGGCACCTCCACAGCAAGCACAAAGATATGGAGGGAGCCGTCCTCGCTGCCACTTGCTACGAGATGGCCTGCACGTGTGGGCAAGGTGTGCAGGCTGTTGACACCACAGCTGTGAGCCTGGACAGTCAGGCAGGGGGGACTCAGCCCTGCAGGAAGAAGATGGTTGTCAGGACCCAGCCTGCCACACTGGTGAAGGCAAAGCGGGAAGTGGGGAAGGACAGTCACAGCTGCACACTAGCTACTCACGATAGGGAAGCCCAGGGTCTGCTGGAGGCTCCAGGGCAGTGGAGCCCTTATCTAGCACAGTGGTGAGATCCCAGAAGGCCAAGCTGCCATCCGTGGCTGCACTGCACAGAAACAGTCTCCTAGGAGCCAGGAAAAGACAGTTACGTCAGTCAGGAAGATGGAAAGCAACAGGGGCCCCCACCGACCCACGCAGAACCATCATGCAGCCCCTCACCGCCGCTGGTTGGGTGCCTCATGGGTGAAAGAGTGGACCTTGAGGACACACCGCTTATGGTGGAAGGTTTCAGCCAGGAGCTGTAGCCGCCGCCCAGAGTCCTGCAAAAGAAAGAGCCTGGGGGGGGGGGGGGCGGGCGGTGGCCCAGCTCAGAACCCATTCATCCTATTGCCTGGCCCCATCTGAACCCTATGCTCTTACCTCACTGCCCCATCACTGCAGGCTGCAGCCACAAGGGGGCCAAGGCCAGGCGAGTCCAGCTCACACACAGCTAGGCACATGTACCTGCAGAGAGAATACAGCTGTCAAGCAGAGCCCTGCATGACCCCACCCCATGTTCCAGTCAGGAAGTGCATATCACCTGGTCTCTGGGTCCACCTTGACCATCCGGTGCCGATTGCGCTGACGGTCCCAGTACTCATCTAGCCGGTGAGATGAAAGGTGCATAACATGGCAGGCGAGGCAGCTTGGGGTGCTGGGGTCCAGGGTGACCATGATGTTGAAGCAATGCATCTCAGCCCGGCCCCCCGCAGACACCACATGGGCAGTCAGGCCTGGTCGAGGATCCTGAGGGCCACCTGGGGTGCCAACGCCCCACACAGCCACGGCACGCACCGAGGAGATGTGGTTACAAACAGCTGTAAGTGCATGGGCTGAGCCCGTAGCTGTGGGGAGTGCCAGGACACAGATGGTAGTATCCTCACTGCATGTGATCACAATGTCAATCAGGCTGGGCCCCTCGCTGCCAGGTTCCAAGTGGTCAGGCTGCATGAAGTTGGGCACCTCGAATTCAGGCCCCAGAGTGATGGTGCCCACACGCTTTACACATGTGATCTCACGGCCATGCAGGCTCTCCCGGAGAATCACATGTGGCCGGGTGCAGCCACCCAAAGCCCGGTACAACATGACATCCCCATCCTTTAGGTAGGCAAAGGCCATAGCTGCCTCAGTATCAGAGAAGGCCCAGGAGCGATGCCCTCCACCACAGTTGACAATGTGCAGCTTCTCGTGTGACCGGGGGCTCCACACCACAAACTCATTGGCATGGAAACCCAGGATGACCATGTTCCCATCAGCCACCATGCGGAGCCCAGCCACCCAGTTCATGCCTCGACAGGACTTCTGCCTTAGGACTGGCTGGAGTTGGCCACCTTGCACAAAGAGCTGGTAGTAGGCACCATCGCGCCCTGTGGTGTACACATAGCCACCATGACAGGTGACTGAGGTCACACCCTGCTTCCCATGCAGAGAAGGAAGGGTGGATACAGGGCCCCACTCAGCCAAGGTGGTCTCACTCCCACCACTATCACTATCCACTCCAAGTGCTCCAGTACCAGCCACAGCCTTGCCTTCAACACCAAGATCCTTGAGCAGAGCTGGTCTGGAGGGGAACAGCAATACAGAGCCCCGCCGGTCTCCGCACACCAGGAAGTCACCTGGGGGTAGGAAGGCACTGCATGTGTGCCATCTCTGCTTGCTTGGAGGCAGCAGGTACCGGCAACGTTCCTTGACGAAGATGGCCTTGCCAGAGGGTGCAGCTGTGATCTCCAGGCAAGCCACCACGCCACCAGGGCCCGACGCTAGCAACAGGAGCTCCTCGTAGCCACGCAGGGCCCAGCTTACACTGTGCACCTTCCCTTGGAACAGGGTCAGGTCCACAGCTGCAGTTGGAGTATTAATGGGGACAACCTTGACACGACCCTCCCCATTGGCCATGGCACACAGTCCAAAGCCCTCAGGACCGGGGGCTGCCTCCAAAAGGCAGTAGGACTGGAAGCGATTATCTTCCAGCAGTTGCTCCCAGCACTTGACCTCGAGGTCATAGAGGTACAGGGCCCCTGTATCAGTCACTGCCAGTACTCGCCATGAGCCAGCCAGCGTCACAGCCTTGAGGGCACCTGGCCTGCTGTGGGACTTGAAGCTGAGAGCTGAGACCCCTGAACCTGGGTACTCACGCCCTACCAGGTGCCATAGTCGGATGCCTGAGTCATCGCCCCCAGTGATCACCCAGGCCTGCCTCTCATGGGCAGCTATGGCCCGGATTCCACGGCCCTGGTGTCCCCGAAATGCCTGGAGGATCTCACCTTCGTGGCTCCATACCAAGCATACACAGTCCTCTCCTGCACTGATCAGGTAATTCTCTAGCAGCTTGACCTGCCACACACGGGCACTGTGCCCAAAGCAGTGGCCAATATTCTGCACCCGACCCCCAGGCACCCGCAGGTCCCCCACCTTCCAGATGCGTACACTTCGGTCTTCTGAAGCTGTGGCCAACAAGCCCTTGCTTTCCAGGTACGACATGCTGAAGATGACACCCACATGCCCACTGACCCTTCGGTCAGGGGCCACAGGTTTATTGTCTATTAAAGCAGCTGCTGGGTACCAGACGAGGAGCTGGTTGGAAACTGCACCTGCCACTATGGTCAGCTCCTTCCAGGTGTCTCCAATCAAACAGGCTGAGGAGAGGGTACACCTGTCTGTGCAGGGTACATCCTGCAGGATGCACCCTATCACAGGATCATATAAAACCACTGAGTTGTGGCCCAGGGCCAAGGCCATGTTTCCCTCAAGCCAACGTGCATCCCAAATCCAGTCAGACATGTGCCACAGGCCAGAGCGCCAGAGCTCCCGGAAGCGGCCCTGTCCCCAGCTAATTTTCACAACTCGAAGCCCCTTGCTCCCAAACACGGCTACCATGGCCTCCAAGTCCAGGTTTCCGTTGGGTTCTGGTCGCACCCGAAACCCATGGATAAGATAGTGGCCAAGCAGGCTCTGCACTCGCTTCATCATCCGCAGATGCCCACCAAAATCCAAGCTGTACACCAGGACATCCGGCCCCTCACCTAGACAGAAGCAAAGAGCCACATCAGAATGCCTGACCTAACACTGATGAGCCACAAGAGGTGGGGGCAGGGGAAATTCACCACATGTGGCCTATGAATGTGTCAGAACAGACAATCTTGCAAGCCTGAACCCTGGAAAAACCTATTCTCAGCTTCAGCACTGGACTTTCAGTGCTAATGTTCTGATCCCGCCAGTCATTCCTCATGCAGTCCAACCACAAATTCCTCAAACTCACAGATTCCTCCTCACCCCACCTAAATTCTCTTGCTTCAGACAGGAACCCTCTCAGCTTTAGCCCCCAAATCCTTAGCCTCACCTACCTATACATGAATTCTTCCCAATGCTCCCAACCCCAGGGGAGAGGTTTTCCCACTAAGACAATCTTTTCACCTTGAGGTCACAGCAGAACCCCTCCTGACATCCAGGAGCTTCTTCCCAGTATCTCAGATGTGAGCATATTCAATATCGGTGGGGAGAAGCAGGAGAAGCAACCTATACTTATGCAGCAGGGGCTCCTATGGCCCTCAGCTGCCTCCTGGCTACCCTGCAGGCACCTCCCACTATACTCCCAATAACCATTACCACCCCCAGCCCCAAACCAGGAAACCCACAGCTTACTCCTCTTAATTTCCCACATCCTCTCTGTCTCCAAGTTCTGTTGATTTCGTTTCCTAAAGAGTTTGCAAATACCCACCACCTCTTAATTTGAGATGATTGTAACAGTCCCTCATGCCATTCCTAGTCTGCAATCTCAATCTTTTGACATTCAATAAACCTTTATTGGGCATCAATTATAAACCAGACAATGAACTGTATGCTGAAGCAGTGAATAAAACAAGCAAGGACCCTGATCTAAACAACAGCACACAAATAAACTATACTGTTAGAATTTTGGTAAGTTCCAGGAAAGAACTATATAGGGTGCTTTAAAAATTTTGCCCCGCCAGTGTGGCTCAGTTGGTTGAGTGTTGTCCCCTGCACCAAGAGGTCCCTAGTTCCATTTCCCAGTAGGGGGCGAGCAGGAGGCAGCCAATAATTCTCACTGATGTTTCTATTTCCCTCTACCTTCCTCT